TGCGAGGTGGGTTGGCACGGCGGACAGGGTCCATATCTATAGTCCGCACACGTACAACTTAATTTCTACTAACAATTACCACAAGTGTAAATGTGGCAACTGACTAGAATATCTATCAATGCCACAGAATATGCTAAAGTAATCTCTACTGTTTATGACAATTTATAAACATCTATTTATTTTAATTTCTTTGTAACATCAAACTAAATGAATATTTCTGTAGATATTGTTTACCAGAAAAATGATTCGTACAATTTTTTGTCACAACTAACAATACGGTACGGTATGCTACAGTCGTAACAATATTAGTAAAATTTTTATTTGCAATTCCCGCGTCGTCCACTCGAAGTTCTAATTGTAACCTATAGAATCTATTAGCCTCCGTCCAACTTTCCTAATGCCGTCGGTCGGCTAACACTCCAATTGCAGCATAGTTAATGGGCTGTACTCTATCACAATCGTTATCTCCGCGTTAATACTCACAGTAGTTGGGCTTGTTCACTAATCCCGGATAAGGCGAGAGCGCAGGTGCCCATTCAACCCGGACTCCACTGGGTATCTCTCTGCGTTTTATCAGGGAATCTACTAATACATGCTGTTACAGCCTTTCTGTGTGTAAAACCTTCTTTAAAACTCTTATTAATATTCTACTTGTTATGTTAATAATCGGACAGTAGTCAGATGTCAAAAATAAGGGTGTTGCTTTGGCTCGACAACACAACGGCCATATTGGTAGTGGCGAGCGTGGATATATGAAAAAAAACGGTGTTATTAAAAAAAACATAACAGGTAAAGAAGACTATATTTTATTAAAGCATAACATGGCTGTGACGCCCATAGTACAGATTAATTACTATTCGTATAATAACAATAATTTACATTTTCATCTGCGCCTGGTGAATTGTGAACTGCAATGTTACCACACTCATGAAATATATTACACACAAGCGATCCGTTAAACAACTCAATCCAATAAATAAATATGAAAACAGAAGCTGGGCGTAATCTCCGATTTATCAATATCGCTTAAATACACCGCACGGGGAACATTCACGGTCCAATATCGCATTAAATAGTAAATACGAAAGAAATACGGACGATAATTCATCAAAATTCGACAGAGAATACATATTCGTCATATAAAAGCTTAACTCCAACATATAACAGTATCCAAACATAACAAACGTACAAATTACAAATGGTGAAAGAGCCTAAATCGAAAGCTGATATTCGAAAGCGCGGAACACTTAATCACAAAGCATTTGGGAATGAAAGAAAAGGGGGAAAGCGGATTGCTTCTAAATTCGGCGAGGGCATGAGGCGTGCCCGCGCTCGGGGCAGATTGATAAATGCCGGGAAGCACTCGCCGACCTAATGAATGGAGTGTGGCACGCACATTGCACTCCTGCAGTATCTGCAATCCCCGCTAATTTAGGAGCCAGTCCAAGAGTATTAGGTTTAAACTACAAGCGGTAGCGATATAAAGAATTAAATGTTTTAATTGTAGCGACGCCTGGTATAAGAAAATTAAATGACCACATAAAGACGCAGCGTTCATTAATTTGGCCTGGAATAAATGCAAACATAGATAAGAAATTTAGAGCAAAGATTGTACCTTAAATTAGTGCAACTTGATTTCTTCCAATGATGCATAAGTATAAATGGAATGAGGTAACTGCCATTATAGTCCCTATCAATAAACATGGAAATACTAAACTAGTGACTTACTAACTTTCAGAAATACAAGAAACGTGAAAAACAAATCAATTACAAAACCTAATGCTTTGTAATCAAATTGACCCAAGAGACGCGTCTAATGTACATTTTCGTGGCCAAACAATATTTGCAACGCAGTAACGTTGCAGGAGAAATTTATGATTATCACTGTAGCGATGTAGACAGCATAACAGTTGATGCGAGAGTTACGAGTGCCGCTTCAGGAATCGTCCGAGCAACACATTCAGCGTTTGTAGAACGAGTGATTTGCTGACCGAAGAAGTATACAATCATGTTTAATTCAATACGTGTTCAAGTACGCATCCGAAATTTGAAGACTGATTTTTTAACGTATTAATTGAAATAACACTACCCATAAAATTCGATGTAAAAACGTTGAAATTAAATTATTGAAAACTATTAATTCTAAGATCTGTATCATGGTTCTTCGTAAAAGTAATTTGAAAGTAGAAATTCATAGAATAGGAACCACTTCTTGATACTGTAGACTATATCCATTTTGCTGATGGCCGTCCATTACACCGGCCAAGATAGATAACAGGCAATTACGCTATAAACACAACGACAATTGAATGTTTTCACTAATTGAAAAGGCCACCCCCGATCGATTCATTACGGTGTCACTATATGAAATGAAAGTGCTAGCACGCGGGACATGACCGGCTTGATGTATTAACTCCGTTGACCTCAACAGCGACGTTTATTAATCAAGACTCCACCGAAAGCGAGTTAACAGTACACTTACCAACGTACATTACGAAGCAATCTATAAATGTTAATTACTACCACCATCATCTGAACCTTAATAATTAAATTTCCAAATGCAATTAAAAATGTTGAGAGTTCTATATTTAGTTGTCATAATCATACTTCATCCTAATATTATGAATGCGAATGTTTAGATGGATGGATGTTTGTTAGAGTTTGTAGCTTACGACTGAACTGATTTCGATCAAAATTGGTACAGATGTAGAGGATAGTCAGAAAAAACACATAGGCTACTCAGTTTTATTTTTTTTATTTCATGCGGACGGAGTTGCGGGCGAAAGCTAGTTTATCATATAGCTATTAATCGTTCCGTTGATAACATCAACATCAGAATAAAATGTTAATAAGTTAATAACGATAGTAGAATTTGCTGTTTTGACTAAAATTTAAACTCAAGGCATATAAAACAAAGCAGGTCACAAACCTGTAAAGGGCCAAGATACTGTTTCAGTGTTCAAGACAGCAATACGACTATCGAAAGTTCTCGTAACTTAAACGATAATGTCGGAATTAGCGAGGCCGCCGTCACTAGGCGAAGAATCCTAATCATAATAATTCAAGATGATATCTGGCGGGTAGGCGATGAACAAAAGGCGGCGCAACAATGGCGGCCGGCGGGCCCCGGCGCCGCGGTAACAAATTGCCAGCTTCCAGATAACTAAGCAATATTAAATCATAGTAATTTGTGGTTGCGAAACGCGGCCCCCTCCTAACAACCTATCTGCGAAACCTTAAAGATATTATATTTACTTTTTCCTTGTGATTTGACGCGGAAAATGAAATTAATTGATTTTACTTTAATATTAAATGTTACATTTGTACTTATGAAATCCCGTTTATCCCTATTTTCTCGTAAATATAACTGAGACAGTGTAGCACGTGTAGACCAAAGTTAAACGAGATTTGAGCCTAAGCATAATACCGCGGACAGGTGAAAACGAACAGACTCGAAGAGCACCAATACTTGATCGTAAAGCATTAACAATTCCTAGAGGCTCAATAGTTGCAAGGAAATCAATATATAATCTAAACATATAATTAAATTGGAGTGTCTATTTGTAATATAAAAAGTAAAATTCCAGATTTCGAGAAGATAAAGTCGCGTTTGTTCCGGCTAATCTCCGAAAAGGCTGTGCCGATTTCGAACGGACTCTAACTGAAGAGGAGCTGACATAGACGGGTATATTAGGCCACTTTTATATCTTAATATTGCGTGGAAGAATTCGAAAGCAACAGCTAGTTAGTAATAAAGGCATTCGTAGTGCGAAAATCAGGACAAGCGTGCTGTGATACGCCCGAAACGAGCCCTCCACCGGCAACGGTCGGATTTACCACAAGGCTTTACTCTACGTGCCACATTTTAGACTGTTCCCACGTTTGAGTGGCGCCTCATTCAAATTGCATTAAAACAGTGCAGTAGACGCACATATCGATAATTGGATCGATAGTATCCAAGCGTATGGTTAATGAAAATGACCACAACAAAATTTGAATTAGATATCAAATGCACATACTGTGGTTTTGGTTTATTAATAAATGGCTATGTTTCAAAATTATCGATAAATTAACAGTCTCCTTTTTTAAATCGTACATCCCTTTAGCACCGAGTAGCGGTTCTTTCCGAATATTTCCAAAGCGATATTCCGTGCCAAAATAATTTAATTCCGACCATACATAACTGAGCTCATGAAGTTCGTAAGTGAAGAGGACGTTATATATGGCGCATTAAATTTAATTATCAAACTGACAAATGCACGTATCACATTTTAACGTAAAAAGCTGAGCGAATATTTTGATGTACTCTGTCGGATACTCGAAGTCCTCATGAATGCACTTCACTCTACTCCTCGTTATATCGATTCTGACAAATTGATTTTGAATTAAATTTTATAGCAGTAATATTGTTTACATATCATAAATATTCAGCAAAATAATTGAAAACGTTTAGATTAAATTATACAACCCGTAATTTCTAAACATAGAAATTAAATAATTTACATCTGTTTATGAAAACAATTTGAAGAATAAGATTTTTATAGAAACATACATTTTATGACCATAAATATAAAAAAAAACAATAACTAAATACGAAATTGATTAAAATTAGTTTATTTCAGCGACATCTAGTGAACGTAGTACGCACTAGTTGCTTTAAATACGGTGTTTAAAGAATTCGTCTATTTTTGTAGCGAACTCTAGCGGAGCTACGGAACACTGTGCTTGTTGAAGCACGCCATCTAACGATAAATACTGAACACACATCTGTGTTGGTTCAACCGTAGTATGAAAATGCTAACGAAATTTCGTGTGTACAGTTCACGTCGCTATTACCAGATGGCGCTAAACGCAAAATTGTGATGTGTACGTGAGCAAAAAGTCCGGAGAAAATTATTTTAAAATTATATTATTAAAATATATTTCAAGTATACTAAAAACAATATTATATTGAGCGTCGCCATTATATTATTAATAATAATTTATGTCAAGACACTTACGGGTGTGGTTTCCATATTCAGAGTAAGGCAGATTAAACTGCAACTGAATGTCTGAAAAAATAAAGAAAATACGTATTAATTGATATAATAAATCAATGATAAAACAATTGTTGAACAAACAAATGATATATACATTAATTATTAAAAACAATTGTCTTCATTACATGAAATAGATGTTATACTACAAGAAATGTTTTAGAATTGAAGAATATGAAAAGAACATGCATAAAATCTACCCAAAACTTCTTATAGTATTTTTAGTCAGAAATAATTTTTAAACATTGAGATAATAAATTCAATGAGGTAAAAATAAATTTCATCATATTCAAATTCCAAAAATTCCACCAGAACACATTCGAGATCTAACAATTACATTTGAATCAGTAAGGCATTGCATCATACATGTAAAAAGTTTCGTTTCTAGCTTACAAATATAGTATTCTCCTATACACTTCAAAGTGTTGTCAATACAAAACAATCGAATGACCATTAAACTTGTCTTAAAAACTATCACTTAGATCTTCAATTGGATGAAATAAAAAGGTAAATTACCTTAACACAAAATACACTCTGCATTGATGTTTCGGCCACTTAAATCTGGACGCGCTATTTCCGCCACATCCGGTCAGAAAACATCCGTATCTACGCGTATCGTATACATTACAAGAGTTTAATTATGCAAAAAACTATTTTAGTTAATACTAGCTGTTGCATCTCTAAATAAAACTTGTAATAAACACCCAACGTTGCTCAGTAATAACATAGCTATTTATTGGTAAAAGAATTATTGAATTCAACCTAGTAGTGTTTGAGTTACTTCAATACATAAAAATATTTTCCTCTTAGTAATATTAGCTTATTATATAATTCCTTCTCAATACTAGTACAATATTAATTAAATGAATTTAGATTTTAGTATACAAATCTTAGTTTAATTCCCTATTCCTGAACGTCGTATAAACAAATCGCTTTTGCCCATGATTTCGTTTATAAGGAATTAAAAAAAACTTAGTCTAAGAAGGGTCTAGATAGAAATGGATGGATTATGTGAAAAATGACATGATCAAGAATGGAGTGATGACTGAGATGACGGGTGATAGAGTTATTAGGAGGACGAAAACCCGGCGCGGTACAACGATCATACGATAAGGTTGGGGACAACGGCGGATCAAGGGGGATGGTCATAGGGGTCATGACTCCCCCCTGAGCTGGTTACAGAGACAAAATATATTTATATTACTTGTCAAGCTCTTGACTTGACCACGACTATGTGACCCCCCCCCCCTGGCGCCAAAGCTGGATCCGCCCTTGGTTGGGGAGATGATGAAATCAGTCAGATACCTTTTTTATATCGTACGATAAAAATTATTAGCAATATCCGATATGTGATATTTACATATTACATAGAGATAAATTCGTGTACATACACAGATTTATGGGAATGGTGTAACATAATTTTGGCACAAATTCTAGCAAGGTTATCGATCGTTGGGTCAACGCGCCGTCTAGACATATTGATAGTCACTGAGCAGTAGGAAGTAGGAGTGTCTTACATTTATTATGTGCATTTTACTTATTACAGATTTACAAAAATAATTATTCAACGGTATTCCAAACAATAAACTGACAACTACACTTAATTTTAAAACAAAGTAGCGTATGTTCTATATTATGATTTACCCGAAAAACAATAGATGGCGCTGAGAAGAGTTGTAAATATTTTTAATAATCATATATTAATTTAAAAGTAAAAGCATATTTAGATTAATTAGTAACATGTTTTATAAAGTAGTTAATTGTAAAACTATAATGTTTAGTTGCAAAAATATTGATGATTAATAATATCGAACTGGTCGCCAAGAAAGCAATAGACAATACTTAAAATAAAAAAAAAACAACAAGAATTTAAGGCGCTAATGGGAGTGCAAAATGTGAAGTAAGTAATATAACGTTTTTATTTTAACAATGTGGTTTTCCTTGTTTTTTGTAAATAGTGTGTGTTTATTAACTAGTAAACAAGATTTGATCAAAGGTATTAATTACATTTACATTTATGTAAAAACTAGCTTTCGCCCGCGACTTCTTCCGCGTGTAATTTACAAAAACAAAATCAAGACTACGTTCTACATCCAAATCCACATAAAACCAAAGAAATCGTGTAGTTTTCATAACAGTTATTAAATTGTTTTCATTTATGAGACGATATAAAAGTTTATTTTCATAGCGTTAACGTCTGTCGATAACATGGCCGCCACTTGACGCGGCCGCAAAATTAATTATAACTTTTACCGCCTATTTGCTTAAACATCTTACAGCTGGCTAACTTGACTGGGCAAGTTCATCCGCTACTGTGTTATTATCCAGCTCTATCTGTACTTGGTATCTTCACAAATATATTACTAGCTGTAACATGCGACTTCGGTCTTGTGAAATTAAAAAAAAATACAAAATATAGCCTATGTTACTCACAGATAAATCACCTTTCTAATGGTGAAAGAATTTCTAAATTGGCCCAGTAGTTTTCGCGTGAATGTATAATATAAAAATCTAAAAATCATAATAAAAAAATCATTCCTCTTTATAATATTAGGATAGATAAATGCTATTCAAAAGAAAAGTTCTAAAAAGGCAAATTTAATAGCACCATTACCAATACCAACATTTAAAGACTTCGCAAATTTAAATTAATATTTTACCCTGTCAATTAAATTTTAAGGAAATTGACAACCCTGTAAATTTTCATTCAGGCTACGGGTCACTCCTACGTCTAGAGTAAACATTAGAGCCTTACTGTGAATGCGAATTTAAAATAATAATTACAATTAAGTTAACAGCAGGTTTTTAACTTTATTGATTAAATCTGTGTAATTAAATGATCTAAACGGATGACTTAACAATACAATAATTTTATATGAACTAAACATCCTGTATAAATTATTTGACCTTCAAAATACAAACGTATTCGAAACTCACCGTGATATTCCACCACTGCCAAACTAGTATTGAAACATAATGTTGTTTAGTCTTTTCAAAGAGAATAAAAGAGACGACTATGATTTTATACAAGTATATTGTCAAGAGAAATCCACAATAAGGTTAACACTTGACTAAACACTCATTCGCACGGGCGCTTTTTTCAAGCTCTTGTTTATACAAAAGCTTTAAAATCACTGTTTCGTTCGCCCGAGGCTCAAAATCAAATCATCTTCAACAGCCTTTGGACATTTAATGGCAAAATTAATATAATATTTTTCAACGTTTTTTCAACGCGCGTTATAAAAACGCGCGTGCGAATGAGGGCCAAACCAACGTTATTGTTACTCGACGTTACTTTGTTTTGACAGAAAAAAGATAACAAAAGCCATGCCTTTCAATCAAATCAATAGTACATTAAAAAGAAAATTGCATTGTATATTATAGCCAATCTCTGAATCTATTGAATTGATTTTTCAATAATTAAAAGTTCACTTCCAATACATCACAAAAGTGAATCCTCAATAGCCCTTGCTAAGCTCTGACCACGTTTCCATTTGTGAGGGTTTCATCAGTAACCATACCAACCGGTATATAACCAAGAAATAAATATTTTACCCGTGTTATAAGAATGCAACGATCGCGTTTCTAGCGCATGTCGAAACATGCCAGCTGTTAAAGCTATTTGTACTGAGCTGGTTGGGCGTTTGTATTCAAGTAATATTATTGCTTTACATCACGCGACTTATATGCCTAAGTGTAAAGCCTAACTTTTCCTAGAACCTCAGCTTGATGTACGTGTATTTTGTTCTCTTCTTCGCTTCGCTCTCGTATTTTTACCGCCAGTTAGCTGTACTATGATTCATTATTTAAACTACTTTAAATATAGTGTGAATTGCAACAACTTCACGTCACAACGTAAACTGACCTCGCCAATAGATTTCAGTAGAAGATATTCATGAATATCTATAAATAGGTACAGACGCTACGTCTAGAATGTTGTAAACCTAAAATAAAATACTAAATTTATACCTTACTCTCCTGCATATAAAGAACCAAATATTTGGATAAAATAGCGTTAACAAACACTGTTAATACGTAAAAGAATATACGTAAAATGGTTGTATTTATCTGTTAATTATACGAATGACTTCGCAAATAAATTGCGATAGTCGAAAAAAACGTCCGCAAAATGAGTCATCACATTAGAAATTGACTTAAGGATACCTAGACACGCATCGCCTTAAGAAAGGAGCATCGAACCGAACGTCTGCAAACTCTAATTCAAACTTTATTCTAAGCTCTTCGAAGGGACTTATTTCGGCAGTTACATTAATTCTGCAAACGATTTAAATTGGACGTCTTTTGCTTAATAGACGTATTCGACATTGGAAAACCTTTATCGACCTCGTATTTTTGCTTTCCCAGCTAAATGACCTTGCGATAAAAATGCTATACAACCGCGAATGAGATTCTAAATACTTTTGCAATTAATAAAAAAAATAAAAATAAAAATAGTTTATTAATTTTTCCTTGGGCAGGGGACTGGTGTCCAAACTAGAGTGGTCCCTGTGTAATGGATCACCAGGCCCCCGCCCCACAGACAAAGTGAATCTTACAAACAAACTTAAAAACAAACAGACATGCAGTACTTAGTAAAAATGAAAAAGTTAGAGCTATATGTTAGGTGTTGGTGTGCAATGCATAATGTGTAATGTGTAATGTGTAGTGAGTAGTGGACATGAGTCTTTTTTTTATCAAGTTTATCTATCGTAAAATTATTAATAGGATACCATTAGGTAAAAGTTATTCAAAATTCAAATTCCGCCAGTGGAATTCTACGGTTACAAAACTTAAGTGTGCATCATAATATAATTACCTGAAATAGCGTAGGTAAAACCGGAGCAATATGACCTTTAACGCTTATAATCCTGTTCGATAACCTATACGCTTAATTATTTGCTGAAATCGTTTGGAGGAATTAATCATACATTATAACATGTTATCTAAATGAATCCAAAACATATTTGTCTTCATATCTCATTGACGAAACAGTAAATAATATTTTTCAACTAATG